CCACCAGCATCCTAACAACCATTTGTCTGATGGGTTGATATGAAGGATTTCGGGTGCTAGAACAGCATTTGTTTCCCCTTCTATGCCCTTCTCTGTCAGCACTGGGTTCACATTAGCTGTGATAGAGAGAAACTGAGGGAGGTGTATTTGGCTTTTAAAGAATAAATCACCTTTAATATTGGTTGTCCTGCAGGTGTGGCTGTTGATCTGGTATATAAAACTGTTAGTTTAGTTTTTTACAGAACAGGGTGCCCAAATATTGTGCAGAATTTTAAAGAGTGCCTTGACTGAGAAAAAGTTGAGAAACACTGCACTAGAAGTACTTTGATAACTAAAACAAGAATCCTGACCTGTCTAACTTTTCAAAGAGCAGCATGCTACCCAGGTAAATGTGAGCATAGCAAAAAAATGACACCTGAAGGAAACAGCAAGGAGCTACCACTAGAAGGTATTGTTTAGGTTATGTAGGTAAATGGTATCTTGCAAAAATTACCCCAAATTGTGAAGAACGGCAGTTTAACAGGTGCATTTGGTGGCGATCAGGATAGTTGTATGGAAGTTGCAACAAATTGGCAAACATTGCTTTAGCAGAAGCACATGGATCACATCTGTTTATGGCTCTTTTATGGTATCTCCAGACACTTATTATGCATTTTTTCTGCAGATCTGCATGTTTGATACCTGTAGCTGTGAGAAACAAGAAGACTGCATGTGTTCTGCCATCTCCTCTTATGTTTATGCTTGTGCTAGAGCAGGAGTTTTTATCCGAGGATGGAGGAAACATATCTGCCGTAAGTTCTAAGTTCAAAGGCTATACATATCTTTCTAATCATTTAGGTTCTCACCAGGGGTGGACTGACAACTCATGGGGCCCCCCGGCAATAGGGGATCATGGGGCCCCTGTGTCCTTGCCCAAACTCAAAAAAGCCTATGAAAAAGGTACCAGGGGCATCTCATGGGGCCCCCCTACTGACCCCGGGCCCTCATGCAGTGCCCGAGTTTCCAAATGGTCAGTCCACCCCTGGTTCTCACACCTCTATACCCCATATTGACCAGAGCATTTTTTACCTTTTTTCTATAAACCTACTGATTCAACAGTAACTGTATCATTACTTATGATTCATATAACGTTTTGTCTTTTTTTCTTTTTTAACCACTTGAACTCCAGAAGGTTTTACCCCCTTTAAGTAGAACTATAGGCAAAACTTGTGTTTTTTTATTTTGGATAGAGTAAGGGAAGGTTATAACCCATCAGTTTTTTTTTGCTGTGTCCCATTTTCCAAGATTTTCCTTCACTTCCTGTCCCATAGCCAAACAGGAAGTGAAAGGAAATTTCTGCAAATTATGGGAATTCCTTGGGAACCCCCCCAGGTCTCCAGAACTAGTGACCCCATTGAAAGATTTATCCTCTATTTCTTTTCAGGGGACAACTTGAAATTTTGTATTTTGTTTTACCTTCACTTTCAATGATAATAGTAAACAGGACAAATAGAGAAGGAGAATCTTTTTAAAGGGGGCACAGACAGCATTAAACTGACAGGGGGTTCTAATCCCTCTTCACTCTATCCAAAACTAAAAAAAGTTTTGCCTGTAGTTATACTTTCATGACTAGAGCATTTTTGCTATTCAGCACTATGCAAACTGGCAATTGGTAATAGAAAACTGTACGCAAATTAAATTTATATAATTTTTTTCACACAAATAGAGCTTTTTTGGTGTTATATGATCATCACTAGGTTTTTTATTTCTTATGACTGACAAAATAAGCAATATGTTCAACTTTCTGTTATAAAACATTTACCAATAAAATCCAATTTCTTCATGAATGTAGGCCAAAATGTATTCTGTTACATGTCTTTGGTAAAAAGAAAACCAATAAGTGTATATTAACTTTTTTTAAAGAGTTTTCTCTTTTTTAACATTTTTTTTCAGACCTAAGACAGGGTGGGACCTGGTTGTCAGACATTTGAGATACACCCATAGTACTTATATTAAGGCGATTCTAAAGGTTATTTTTTTTTTTGTAAAATAGCAAACATGAAATACTTACCTACTGTGTGCAGTGGTTTTGCACAGAGCAGCCTGGATCCTCCTCATTTGGGTCCCCTTCAGGCTCTCCTGGCTCCTCCTGTCTGTCAGGTGCCCCACAGAAAGCAACTTGCTATGGGGACACTCTCTGCTCTGTGTGTGTCCATTCAAACACAGAGCCACGGCTTGGCTCCTCCCCCTCCCTCCCTTTCCTCATTGGCTGTCTGGCTGTGATTGAGGAGGCAGAGAACCAGGACAGCTGAGGCTGTCATTCACATTGCTGGATCGCAATGAGGCTTAGGTAAGTATTGAGGGGCTGGGGGCACTGCTGCACACAGATGGTTTTTTACCTTCATGCATAGAATGCATGAAGGTAAAAAACCTTCAGCCTTTACAACCACTTTAAGTTTTTTGGGGCAAACCTCGTATGCCCACTGTCTTCGTGTGATTAAACTGAGGCAGTAGTATAGAAAGGATAAGGATGATAGCTAGAGGGAAAGCACCTTAAAAAAGATAGTAAGGGCAGCTCCTAGATTTCTATACTAAAAGGTTTCCTTTAAGGTTTCCATATTCAGTGTGTAACTTGTAACATGTTATGAATGGGCTGGCCCCCGCATCCCCCCCTATTCCCGTTGTGACAGCTAGTGAGGGATCTTCTCCTCCCTGCTAGCTATCACAATTTTAAACAACGTGCTCACTGCCCACCCGGCCGTCCCACTCATTCACAGTATTCTGTGAATGGAAAAAACTACAGGTTTTGTCTTTGCGGCTGTCAGTTTGTAGTTCTCAATGAACTATTATGGCCCTCCACAACGGGAGACCTGCATGGCACCAGCAATCTACTGATTGCTGGTGCAATGCTTTAGAGGCTCCAGAAACAAAAAATAATAAATGCACATATTTTAACCCGCAAAAAGATGTGCATTTATTATTTTTTGTTAAAAAGTGTACTTATCCTTTAAGACTACAAATGATTGAAGTGACAAATCCTACTTGGACCTTACAGAATACTTATATGTTTACCTATAGACCAATACACGAACTCCTGCACATCGGGACATGTCTACAGTGACTTAGTCAGCACTTGCCAACCCTCTTGCCAATCACTCAGCGGCCCAGATAGTATGTGTGAAATTGAATTTACCGCCATTGATGGATGTATTTGTGAAGATGGAAAATATAAGAATGAACAAGGGCACTGTGTCCTGCCAGCTGCCTGTCCATGTTACTATAAGGGAAATACAATTTCACCTGATGAAGTGGTCCATGAAAATGGCATAGAATGGTAAGTTGTTTTTGTAGCAATCAGGCTACCTATCACTGAATTCTTTCAGTTAGCGCATGTTTTCAAGAAAACAAGATACAGGTCTTACCTCTATCTACTTCCTCTTATAATGCACTGAAACTAAAACCTTTTGTTCCACTAAGGCAGGCAAGAGATGGTGCAAATTTCTTTTCTGCAACCACAGGTAAGCCATCTCTGCTGGGAGAAGACAGTGATTATTGCTAGTGGCTACTATAGCAGCCACTAGCAATAATCGCAAGTGAATCCGGCAGGCTGGTTGTACTCAAGTTGATCGATCGAACAACTTGGTGCATTCAGCCTGCGCTTACACTGCTGAACTGGCTGAGATTCGAACCGTCTATGGCCGACCTAATACAAGATTGCTGGAGGTTCTTAATATAATTTCATTGATGAAAAAAACTGTAATGGAAGACGCACAATGATGCTGTTCCTGACCAACTTCTGAAAAATGCTGGTTTCCAGGCCGGCACGTAGAGCTTACAGCATTATTACTTTCAGAGTGACTTTCTCACAGCAAGCGTACATATAAGAACCTCCATCTATATTATTTGACTTAAAAAAGTCACAACATCAAATAATTAGTATGACCACTAGATAACCAGCATTTTCCATAGATGTTCAGCAGTGACTGATATTTCTCTGACTGGTTTTCTTTAATGGATAATAGCAATAGTATGCATGCATGGAAAAGTGTAACTATGGCCATAGTAGAACAGGCCCAGATGTACAGGAGGCCCAGAGGCATTTGGCTAGGCAGTGGTTTATGTGGGTAGGTGTAGTATTTGGTAAGATATTTAGATAAAATGAATGTATATACATTTTGGGAAACCTCAATAAGGTTGCTAAAAAAGCAAATAATATTCTATATTAGAGGCAGAGGAACTTTTGCTATGGGTCCCCATCACACTTAGGTATGGCGCTGCATGTGTAATTAGGGTACCTCTTATCTACTACACAGTTTATGTTGCAACTGAAAAAAGTTATGTGTATGAATATGTTTTAAGTATGTGTCACACATACATCTGATATGATCAAAATTATAATAAACTAATGTGATCACACCATTCATCTACTTTATTTATGCTTTGTGTGCTGTTTTGATGCAATGTAATATATACAACTTTGTAGCAATGACCAGATGCTGGGCCCTCAGTATCTTCCCTATGGGGAAATGGGGCCATGAACTGGCCTAACCCACAGGAAGCATTAACTTTAAATAATCTTAATGCAGAACAAGTGTGTTGTAGGCCAGTGACTAACAAGTAAAGTCACAGTCAGGAATCACTCTACAGATATTCCTCTTCCAACAGGTTCCCTTTAGGAGCAATGTATAGCGGCCTAAAACAAGACATCTTAAAACTGTGTCTAATTTTATTTAATACAAAAAATTTTATTGGTCATCATCAGAAAAAGAAATGACATGGCATGACATGAAATAGAATGTGGGGCACACTGTCAGGGCTTCAAAGACTGCTAGAAGAATCAAGTAATGCACGCTGTATTGTTTACTAGTTTGAATTTTTGCACTTGTTATATGAATAATCATTGCTTTTATTGTAGCTCTTGCAAAAATGGAAAAATGGAGTGCAAAGGAAACAGTTCTGAGGCCCAGAAAGGTAAAAATATGCTTAGATTTTCTAAATAAATTATTTTGTTTGTGTGCCATACAAATGTGTATGGGTTTCTGAGTTAGATTATGACTGAGACAGTTGCATGTCATTTTTAGGTATCCATGGTTTTTTTTTTGGGGGGGGGGACTTCCAACATCCCAAATACCCAATTCTATGGTTTTTAGCATCTGTCAATTTAATTTGGCACTGAAATATTCTGTAAATGTGTAAAACACATTGAAATACATTGCATTATTTAACAAAATAATATGATTATTTTTTCCTCCATAGTGTGCAAACTTCCAATGGTCTATTTTGATTGTGACAATGCCCCTGCAGGAGCCAAAGGATCTGAGTGCCAGAAAAGTTGTACCAGCTTTGACAATGAATGTGTAAGAAAATGTTAGGGTATTGATTGTTGCTCAGACTTTATACCCAGTATGTTACACAATATGTTTCCATTCATTTTCCGAAACTGCATGCATAGGCTATAAACATTGGTGTAGATACTGTATTTACTGTTGCTCTTGTAGAAGCTATGGTATTTCCCTCTTACAAGATTATTTTTATTAAGTTTACATGAGGTACATGGGGAGAAGGCAGACACAGGCAACAAAATGCAATAACACATGGATCAGTCACCAGGTGGCATAAATTCAACATTATAAAAAAGTAATGACAATTTTGCACAGAAAGATCTTGGGATAAAATTATTGTGGAAACAGAGACAAAAAGTTAACTAAACAATGTTACAATGACGCAGATTACAAAGTATAGTTAGCTACATTGTTAGGAAAGGAGATCCATAATGCCAAAATGCTATCAAAAATAGTTCCCCCATATCGCCGCAGTTGTAATCTTTCAGTGCTCCATTCCTAGAAGCAGTATCAGTGCAAAGTGTTCTATGAATGAAGGATAAGTGGATGACTGAACGATCTGCCTGATCTCTGCATAGATTGATTTTGATCGATGGAAGCTATAGTACATACTCTAATATTGGAGGAAGGGGCAGGAAAGGCAGTTGAGGAGGAAAGACAAAATATTTTTTCCTTTTTTAAAATTTTTGATAGAGTGAGAGTTATATCTCCTATCAGTTTATATCCCATTGTGTCCCATTGGGGAGATTTCCCTTCATTTTCTGTCTCATAGCCAAAACAGAAAGCGAGAGGAAATCCTTCTGAAGTAAGAGAATCCCTGGTAGCAACCATGGTTTACGGAACTAGTTTCCCCACTGGAAGATTTTCCCAACTCTCTCTGCAATGCAGGATTTTAGACTAAACGAGACAAATAGAGAGGGTGAATCTTCATAATGGAGGCACAGATAGCAATAAAAACTTGACAGGTGTTCTACACTTTATCTAAAACTAAAAAAAGTTTGAATTTCGTTATACTTTACCTTGGTGAAGTCTTGAGCCTTAAGATAACATCTACAATGAAAATACTCAGCCTGAAAATTATTCAAAGTAAATGCTTATATTTAGTTTTTTTTATATAAAGGTTTCAAATTGATAGATAATAAAAATCCTGCTTGATTTCTCAGCAATTGTTCCTGGTTAGTTCTTTCTGTGACTTAAGCTGGGTATACACATATAGAAATACATAGAACTGGCTGAAATGGCTCGGTACATGTGTACCCCTGGGTGTTCAACAGAAGAAGAAGGTCATTAGATTAGCTTCTGTCAAACAGTCATGCTAGGAAACCAGTAATTGATCAGGTTTTGCAGCCAATGGCTGCAGCTTTGATCTGTGTCGTATGACGGGGGGGTCCCAGTTGTTAAAATACAATAGCTCAGCGGGAGAGATCCCTGTATCCATGCCACTTGTGTGTATGTAGGAATCTGTCAATTTAATTTTTTATTCCACCTGTTGGTTGAACAAGAAAATCTGTCTTTATAAACCCTGCTTTAGAATTTCCCTACAATACAACATCCATATTTTCTTTTGTGCATCTTACAGTACAGCACAAAATGCGTATCTGGCTGTGTATGCCCTGAAGGAACAGTGCTTAATGATGCAGGAGAAACATGTATTCCCGTAGATGAATGTCCCTGCGTACACAATAATGACTTATACTCAGCAGGGGAAACCATTCAAGTCAAGTGCAACACCTGGTAAGATTTTAGATTTCATCAACTGAATAGCTTATGATAACAGTCTCTTGACCATATAAACATGACAACCCATTTGTGATTCCTCTCTTGCCTCATTGCACAGTACATGTAAAAACAGAATATGGGAGTGTACCAAAAACACCTGTCTGAGTACCTGCACAGTGTATGGAGAAGGCCATTATCACACCTTTGACAATAGAAGATACCGCTTCCATGGAAATTGCTGGTATACCTTAGCTCAGGTAAATGTCTTCCTTTTTAATACTTTATAAGCATGTTTAATTTTAGCATTTGGGATATTTTAATTAGCATACAGTAAAATGATATTCTGCAGCTTTCCTTTTTGTTTTGGCTGGTTAGGGTGTTGAAAGTTGGTATGGGAATGGTTGCAAAGGGTTATACACACAATTGTTCTTTGCAATATGCTATTCAGTTAAAGTGGAACTTCCCCTTACTGTGACATTTTAGTTATAGATGAAATATGTTGAGCTGTGTTCATTATCCATTATGTATTGGATATTTGAACAGAAAGATTTTCCTCCCACAATCCTTAGCTCTGTTCCTGTCCATTTAGGAGTTTTGAGTGTTGTGGACCACTTTTCTTGTTCTATCAAGCTCCACTGCTCTTTCCAAGACATATAATAACTAAAAAAAAAACCAGGAGCTTTGGAATCCCACACAATGGCCATAGCAGGTGTGCAGATCCAGAAACCCATACACTGATATTTTACCAATGATGTCCCTTAGATATACTGTAATCTAGCAAAAAGTGAAACATGCTTTTTGGGTAAACTGATCCTATAACCCTTTCTCTGCCAAGCCCTGTGCTCCACTTTTAAACCCAGGTGGCCAGGCTAGTTTTGACATTTTCCCATTGCTTATTTATTTTTCCCTTACAGCTTTCAGAGCTTGTAAAAGACCCACCAAACCATATATTTTCTGAAAGCACATGACCAGTAGAATAAAAAGATGTTGCTACTGAATTTTAAGGCCATGTAATATTTGCACAAATTTTTATCAAAACAATATTTTTGCTAAAAATACACTAAAATCATTATTAGCTGATACAAACACAGCACATTTTACAAAATACCTGCTAGATTCCTACTAAATACAAAAGCTTAACCTGTATTGACTTAATAAATAACAAATATTTGTAAATTTTAAATGGTGCCTTTTTGAAAAATGGTGAAAATAGAAGGTATGCAAAAATGTACATAACCACATTTCTCAAAAAAAAGGGAAGTTTTCATTTTTCAGCTGTCAGAGTTTGTAAAAGACCCCCCAAACCATATATTTTCTGAAGGCACATGACCAGTAGAATAAAAAGAAGTTGTTACTGATGTTTAAGGTCCGGTGATATTTGCGCTAAGGATTATCAAAACAATATTTTCACTAAAAATACACTAAAATCATTATCAGCAGATACAAAACACACCAAATTTTATAAAAGTCCTGCTAAATTCCTATGAAATATAAACGCTTAGCCTGTATTGAGTTAATAAATAACTAATATTTGTAAATTTTAAACTGCGCCTTCTTGCAAAATGGTGAAAATTTAGCGTACGCAAAAATGTAAATAACCAAATTTCTCTAAAAAGCTGGAGGTTTTCATGTTTCACTTACAGCTTTCAGAGTTTGTAAAAGACCCCCCAAACCCTGCAAACCATGTATTTTCTGAAAGCACATGACCAGTAGAGTGAGAAGTTGCTACTAGTTTTAGCCTCACAATACTTTATCAATATTTTTTTTTTAGAAGTTTATTTATTTTTGTTAACCAAATAAAATTTATTTTGAATATTTTTTTTTTTTTGGGGGGGGGGGCTTTAGAGGGACATCAGGAGTCTAAAAGACTCTAATGTCTCTTTTTTGAGACAGAGAAAGGGACTGAAGACAGTCCCTTTCTCTGGCACTTGAGCTGTACTGTAGAGGAATGGATACCAGTCTGTGTAGACTCCTATTCATTCATAAAATGGAACATAGTAAACAGTGTTCATTATGTTTCAATCACAAACTGACACATAGTAAACACAGTTTATTATGTGTCAGTGATTAATAAAAACAGAAGCGATCTGTACTGATCTCTGTCTGTATTCATTCAGGAAAGGAAGGGGGCTGGTAAATACATGCTTACTGCCCCCCCCCCTGCTCTCCATCCTGACAGATGTTAGCTGGCTGAGCCAGCTCTCTATCCTCACCCCCTCTCTCCATCCTGATAGCTGTCAGTGCTGCGGTGGCTAGGAGGGTGAGGAGAGAGAGCCAGCTAGCAGCGCTGCATGGGGGATGGTGGGTGCCACAGGGGGTGGGGTTTGCACTGAAGGGGGAAAGCCACAACTGTGCATTCCCTCCTCAGCCCGCTCTCCATCCTGCCAGCGGCAGAGTGATGAGGGAGAGCGAGAGAGTGATGCGGGAGAGCCGGCTAGCACTGCTGCTTGGGAAGTGGGGGGAGGGGGCATGGGAGATCGGGGGTGCATATGTAATTTCATTGCTAAAAAGGTAAAATGCAAGACTGTGTAGAGCTTATTAAACATCTATGTCTCTGCAATTTGTTTTTCCTATGATATCAAAATGAATGAAAAAAATTACATTTTAATGTCAAACTCAGAATCTGTCATTATTTGTATGTGTAGGATTACTGTTCTGATGATGGTGGTACTTTCCGAATTGTCACAGAAAATGGACAATGCGGTACTAAAGGTGCTACTTGCTCCAAATCCATCAGACTCTACCTTGGGGTGAGTATCAAGAATTTATCCTGTTAACATATAACATAAGTTCAGTCTTGTCATTCATTTTACTGTATTTTTATCTGGAAGGATGTAAGACCCCTTTCACATGAGTGGACAGATGGAGGGTCCAAACATATCTGCCTGAAAAATAGGCGGACCAGATAGGACCCTCCACTGTCTCCACTGTCCAGATGTGTTAATTTACACCCGCTGACATCTGATCTGATCCTCTAAAAAGAGATGGGTGGGG